TTCAACAGATGTCTATATTGAACTGAAAATACATAATATATCAAATCAAATTAAATACCTATGAGAAATTTTATTTCAAGGCAATCAGATTACATGCAGGAACAGATAAACTCTGTAAGATTAAAACTAATAAAATATTTATTACTAACTCATGTTCCTGTCAAATACAAAATTAGTAAAACTGATATTACCTTTTTTTTTTTCAGTGAGGAAGATTAGCCCTAAGCTAACATCTGTGCCAATCTTCCTCTATTTTTTTTGTATGAGGGACACAAGCATGGCTTGATAAGTGGTATGTAGGTCCGTGCCCAGGATCTGGGCCTGCGAACCCCAGCCCGCTGAAGCACACACTTAACCACTATGCCACAAGGCCAGCCCCTGATATTACTTTTTAAACTCGTTACCTTCCATATACCAAGATTGGAAGTGAGTAAGCCCAATCAGAGATCGAAATCACACTGCATGAGTTGTGAGCAAATTGAGATTCCTATCCTCTGAGAGGCTGCTGGTGTGCAAATACAGGATTTTGAAAGTCTTTTCACCTAAAGAATTGATTGCATTTCCAGGAGGAATGTGTTTGGTTGGATGGTATGCCAATAAACAACTGCCTTGGGTCAGCAAAAACTTGGGTGGTTCTTTTTCCACATTTTTCATCTTATATATTATCCTGAGTTCAACATGTTTGTGTGTTGAATGGATGTTTGTGAAATGTCGTCATCTACTGGGAGTTATGAGGACTCAACTTTGGCCTAATGCAATATACATACATACATACATATCAGAAGAATTCTTCAAGTCAAATACAAATACGAAGTCTGAAAGTCAGCATTTGCTCTCCAAATGTCCACATTGTCCATATGTATTTACTCAAATCTTTATCTTTCTTAAATTTTTGAAGGAAAAGTGATTAAGTTCTGCCATGCCACAATATTACAAAGCCTAAATTAATAAAATAGATAACATGCTTAGTTGAAAGAATTTGGGGACATCATGATTCAGAACACAAGCTCTGTGGATAGACCTTAATAGTCACTTAAGCTTTCTGTATCTCTGTTACCTGATCTGTGAAGTGGGGTAATTATACTTACCCTTATGGGGTGGTTAGGTGATTATATGAAATAACATATGCCAAATACATAGTACACTGCTTGACTTACAATAGTAAATGCAGTGTTATCAAAATATTCTTATCAGTGATTTTAATTATAGAAAATGAATGACAGAATACCCAGTCTAAGTGGTCTTTGTCACCTTCATGTGTGGTTCAGGAGGATTTCTGGGACTAGTTGTTCAAGGCTTTCAAAGTCTTGGAAACTAGACTTCTTGACTCACTCTCACCTCACCCCATGAATGATCTCAAGAGAAATTTAAAAGGCTAGGATTTTGCAGGACTCCCAGTTTTTATTAGCAATTCCTATCCAAAGCTTGTGACACAGTTTGTGTACGTTAACCCTGTTTCTAAAACATGGGTGCCGAGTACCTTTAATGGAGGAGAGGCATGTCTGCTGGAGGGCACGTCTCAGAAACTTAATGGACATTCAAAGCCAAAGCAGAGTAGCCCAAGTCCGGTGCAAGAGAAAAATGTCACCCAAGTGTTAGGCCTATTTGAATTATAATCCAGTTGGTTCTGAAAATCAGAATCAAGGTTTCAAAGACACAATGATTAGAGTCAAACTACCAAAATTCACAAAATAAAAAAAAATCTACTTATAATCTTTTACACACCATTGTATTTAAAAATTTGTTCAAAAGTTTGCCTTGCTACTGTGTGCCCATTTGGCAATAGTTTTGTTAGGTCCAATAAAAACCCTATTCACTAGATTTAAAGCATTTAAATATGGCTGCCTTGAATATTTCTGCAGCCACAGCTGGTGCCAATGTGTTGATAAAAATGTCATTCAGGAAAGCAAGTCCAAGAATATGGTTGGCATTGACATTCTCTTCAGACCAGGTATGTAGGTCAAATGTCAGGCTACACTGCCAGTTCTGATGTATAATTAATAGAGACTTGGACATTTAGCACTTGGCGCTATGAAACAGAATCAAAAAAATTCAACGCAGTTTTAGAAGCTTACCACGTGCTCTCTTTCACTGGTTTCTATTGCTGATGCTACAGGATAAGTGGTTTTGTGCTATCTCCTCCCCTCTACCTGCCGTCAAACAAAATTAAATAGTGCTACCATTCTCTTTGTTTAGTATTGTACAGCTTATACACTATTTTCACATGCATTGCTCATTTAACTCTCACATCTGCACAGAATGGAATTTGTGAAACTAGCAAGGAAAGCATTACTATTCACATTTTAAGAGCTAAGAAAGGTGAAGTGACCTAGCAAAAATACAGAGACAAAAAATAAAACCAGAACTTCCTCTTGAAGAGCCCAAACTGTCAGAGCACCAAAAAAATCAGGACCACTCTAGGACTTATCAAACATCTGGAGACCTTTGGCTTACACCACTGGTGGCCAGACCAACTCCAGAGGTACCAAAGAACAAGATTTAGGTTGGAATGGGCCCCAGAAGCCAACTTCTCTTGTCAAGACCAGTGGACTCTGGACTGGCTCTTGGGACCTGAAATAAAGAGCTGATATCAATTCTGGGGTATTATGTTAAATTACAATGGTGTATTCTAGTGGGTGGAACTGAGAGTACTTCTAATATCATCCAACAGAGTTAATAATGCTGGTACTATCAAGTAAAAAAAGAAGTTTAGCATCTGCCTTTGCTTATACATGGCTAGGTCTCAAATATTCCAAACCATATGTGGATTTAACATAGATTTGATGATACTGTATAGCTACTTTTTGATTTCTTGGTTGATTTTTTTTTTCATGTTGGAAAGAGAACACAAAAGACCAAATGAAAAGAATTATTGATGGAAAAATGTTTTAGTTCATCTTTCTTTTGAAAACATTGGATTCATGAGCTCAATCTAGTTTTATTGAGTTTATAATTTCCTGATGTTTTTACTTAATTTTGCTTAAAGCACATATATAGCTGGATGCCTGCAAATTATCCTCATAACCTCATCCATAAATGACTTAATACAAAATAGGAACGTAGGTTTATATATAAAATGTCCCATCAATGTCAGAATCGTTACACTCCTGAACAATAGAAAAAAAAAAATCCTGAGATCCAGTAGGAACAGGGCTGCATACACTTGGTAGTCTCATTATTCTTGCAACACATCCAAAGGGAGCAGGGAGAACAGGAAACAAAAATTCAAACCTGTATTTGGTGGACCCAAGAGCTCAGACTCCAAAATATTTGTAAACTCTGCCAAAAGCAACTGAATTTGCACAGGAGTCCCATAGTAAGAAGTAGAATGAAGCACAGAAGAGAAGGAGTCCAGCAGTGGGCAAATACCAGAAATTAAAGAACAAAGAAATACACTTTTGAAGTTCAGAAACACATTCTGAGGGGCAGAAGCTACAACCCTTGTCTAAACCAGAGGGTGCAAGAATGGTGATGAGTTGAATGTCAGAAGCCATCCTGAACCTTGTTCATTCAGGAAAATAGAGGAATCAAGGATAGCTAAAAACCACATAGATAAGCCATATTTGCAGGAAGCCTAGTGTCAGCTAAGAAGAGGAGAGTCTTTGTTTTGTGAAAACTATCTAGTGTGGAAGATCATCCTGGCCTCTTGCCCCCTTGGGAAACTTTTGCAAAGAGCTGATATAGGAGAATTCAATACATTCAATGAGGAATGTATCTTTGTTTGATACAAAACTTTGAATGTATATTTGTATGAATCAAAATTCAACACACTCAATGAATTCAATAAATTCAATAAGTAGCACAGCATCAATACAAAGATGTTATAAAAACAAGGACTAAAGCTGGACACCTTACTAACAGATGAAGATCGCTCACCAGAGCAGCCCTGCCACAGAGCATATAAAGTTGTGCATGAAAAAGAAGCTCCTCTATAAGAAAAAGCCGCAAAGCAGAAATGCAAGATCTTAAGAAGGAAATGTTGAAACAGAGAAGGTGAAGCATGAGCTATAAGAACCAAGGAAAGCAGAGGAATAAAATAAAGCCGTCACAGAAATTAGAATAAGACTAAAAGAAGCTCAAGCGTAACACATTACGGAAAATATGAAAAGGATATGGAAGATAAAATGAGAACAGCAAATACAATAAAAATAAAGAGAGAACTAAAAAGGATTGCAGAGAAAATGAGAGCTGTAGATGATAGGTATAGGAGACCCAACATATACATAACTGGAATCCCTATTAAAATCTAAACAATGGTACAGAACAAATATTTAAAGACATAATTCAAATAAGCTCTATGTAATGAAAGGCCATAGAGTGTGCCGTGGTGAATTTACCGAAAATAATCTACATAGAGACATAATCTAGTATACTTTCTCTCTTCAAAGATAAAGAAAAAACCCTATGGGCAATCAAGCAAAAAGATGAAGTATGTTATAAAGAAGGAAATAATCAGGGTGATCTTGGATTTCTCCAGAGCAACACTTACCACCAGAGAATATAACACAATCTAGAAAATACTCAAAGAAAGAAAGCAAGAACTGAGAATTTAACATCAAGCCAAACCAGGCTTTAAATTTACAGGCTACACACAACAGATTACCAGGTCCAAGGATTTAGGGAATATTGTTCCCATCCCTTCTTGTGCAAACTTCTGGAGACAAAGGACTGGGAGTGAGCTTTAATACACTTAACTGTAGAATTAAGACTAAAACAGGGGCCGGCTCTGTGGCCGAGTGGTTAAGTTCGCGCGCTCCGCTGCGGCGGCCCAGGGCTCGGATCCTGGGCGCGGACATGGCACCGCTTGTCAGGCCACATTGAGGCGGCGTCTCACATCCCACAACTAGAAGACCTGCAACTAAGATATAGAACTGTGTACGGGGCCAGGGGAGCTTTGGGGACATAAAGCAGAAAAAAAAAAAAAAAAAAGATTGGCAACAGTTGTTAGGCGAGGTGCCAATCCTTAAAAAAAAAAAAAAGACTAAAACAAATATGGAGATTAGAGTGACGTGAGAGAATAGAAATATTTTATGTCCTAACAAAGTAAAAATTATACCATCAACAAAAACTGGAAGAAAAATGGGAAAGGAAGTGGGAGGGAAACTACAGATTTCCTTATGTGTAGTATCTGGAGTAAAAAGATATCATTTAAAGATAACATGTTAAGTAATATCTGTATAAATATTTAATAATACAAAGGTAAATTCTAAAGCTAGGTGATAGAGACAAGGTAGAAAAAGGAAGAAAAATAGGAAAGATTTTAATTTTACCATTGCTCAAATAAGGGAACTCATAGACAGTGTCTAAAAATATGAAGAACTAAGAACATTAAATGAAGCTATAATCACAGAAGTAACAATGAGAACAAACTTCCAGACCTTTCTTAATATCAGTAGAATCACATACAGAAAGCAAAATGAAGAAAACCGACAACAGGCCTTACGCTACACTGCCTTCTCCCTCCCAGCCTGCACCTGTGCTTTCCTACAATCAGTTGACAGAGGAAGAGAAGACCTGGGCGTGGTTTACAGATGGTTCTGCACAATATGCAGGCACCACCCGACAGTGGACAGTGGCGGCACTGCAGCCCCTTTCTGGGACATCTCTGAAGGACAGTGGTGAAGAGAAATCCCCGTAGTGGGCAGAACTTTAAGCAGTGTACCTGGTTGTTCACTTTGCTTGGAAGGAGAAGTGGACAGATGTGCAATTCATGGGATGTGGCCAATGGTTTGCTGGATGGGTAGGAATTTAGAAGGAACATGATTGGAAAACTGGCAACAAGGAAATTTGGGGAAGAGGTATGTGGATAAACCTCTCTGAATGGGTAAAATATGTTAAGATATTTGTGTTCTATGAGACTACTCATCAAAGGGTGACCTCAGCAGAGGAGGATTTTAATCATCAAGTGGATAGGATGACCCACTCTATAGATACCAATCAGTCTCCCCCTAGCTACCCATGTCATTGCCCAGTGGGCTCTTGAACAAAGTGGCCGTGGTGGCACGGTTGGAGGTTATGCATAGGTTCAGCATCATGGACTTCCACTCACCAAGGCCAACATGGCTATGGCCAATGCTGAGTACCCAATCTGCCAGCAGCAGAGACTGAAACTGAGTACCCAATATGGCACCATCTCCTGGTGTGATCAGCCAACTACCTGATGGCAGGCTGATTACATTGTATGGCAATCATTATGGAAGGGACATTGTTATCTTCTTACTGGTATAGATATTTCCTCTAGATATGAATTTGCCTTTCCTGCACACAATACTTCTGCCAAGTCCATGAATTTAGAGAATGCCTTATCTACCAGCATGGTACTGTGCACAGCATTGCTTCTGATGAAGTAACTCACTTCACATCGAAAGCAGTGAGGCAATGGACCCATGCTCACGGAATTCACTGGTCTTACCATGTTCCCCACCATCCTAAAGCAGGTGGCTTGGTAGAATGGTGAACTTGCCTTTTGAAGACTCAATTATAGCACCATCTAGGTGGCAACATTGCAGGGCTAGGGGGAGGTTCTCCAGAAGGTGGTATATGCTCTGAATCAGCATCGAACAAATGGTGCTGTTTCTCCCATATCTAGGATTGAAGGGTCCAGGATTCAAGGGGTGGAAATGGGAGTGACACCACTCACTATTAACCCTAGTGACGCACTAACAAAATCTTCCTATTCCTTTCCTATTCCTATCCTATTCCTATTCCTATCTTATGCTCTACTGGTCTAGAGGTCTGAGTTCCAAGGGGAGGAATGATTTCACTGAACTGGAAGTTAAAACTGCTGCCCAACCATGGTGGACTCCTTGTGTCTCTGAAATAACAGGCAAAGAGGGGAGTTACTGTGCTGGCTGGAGTGACTGATCCTGACTACAAGGGGAAATTGCACTGCTACTCCACAATGGAGGTAAGGAAGAGTATGCCTGGAATACAGGGAATCCTTTAGGGCGTTTCTTAGTATTACCATGCCCTGTGACTAAGAGCGATGGAAAACCATAAGAACTCAATCCAGGCAGGACCACTAATGGCCCAGATCCTTCGGGAATAAAGGTTTGGGTCACTTCACCAGGCAAAGAACCATGACCAGCTGAGGTGCTTGCTGAAGGCAAAGGGAATACAAATGAGTGGTGGAAGAAGTTAGTTATAAATACTAGCTATGACCATGTGACCACTTACAGAAACAAAGGCTGTAATTGTCATGAGTATTTCCTCTTTATTTTGTTATGAATGTTTGTATCTGTATGTATAGCAAATATCTTTGTTTTCTTCCCTCTCTTATTCCCTTATCATGTAACATAAAATGTATTGACTTAATATTAAAGTATTTAAATATTTTTAATTTTACATCCTAGTATTTAAGTTTCAAGATATCAAGGAAAAGCATAAATATCACTAAAGGACTTTACTCTTCTTCTGGGGAAGGGGTTAGCACATTTTTTGGTTGTGCTCAGGAGAGTTCTATCATATTAGGCAGAATTATGACCTTGTTATTGTCCTTATTTAGAGATTAAGTGTGGTTTAAGGAGATTCACATGGGTGCCAAATTCACAAGGGGTGGATTTGTGATGGTTAATTTCGTGTGTCAGTTTGACTCGACTGGACCATGGGGTGCCCAGATACTTGGTTAAACAGTATTCTGGGTGTGTCTGTGAGGGTGTTTCTGGACGAGATTAACAGTTGAATTGGTAGACTGAGTAAAGCAGACTGCCCTCGCCAGTGTGAGTGGGCCTTACCCCATGTATTGAAGGCCTGAATAGAATAAAAATAGGATGAGTAGGGAGAATCTGCTCTCCTCTGCCTTACTGTCTTCAAGTTAGGACACTGGTCTCCCATGCCTGGGGGCTCAGCCTCAGACCGGAACTTACCCCACCAGCTCTCTGTTTTCAGGCCTTGGGACTTAGACTGGAACTTATACCATCAGCTCTCTTACTTCTCAGGCCTTTGGACTTGGGCTGGAACTACACCATCGGCTCTCCTGGGTCTCCAGCTTGCCAACTGCAGATCTTGGGACTTCTCAGCCTCATAATTACATGAGCCAATTCCTCATAATAAATACATACATTATTGGCTCTGTTTCTCTGGAAAACCCTAACAAATTCAGATTTATGGAGAACCAGGGATATTAAATACGGCTCTAATTATAAAAGTAATGGTGAGAAAAAAACTGAAAACCTTTCCTAATATCAGTTGAATCACACACAGAAATCAAAACAAAGAAAACAGAAAACGGGACTCAAAGTCAAAGACCTAAAACCAATCCATAAATTCAGGAAATACAAAACAATAAAACTAAGTTCAAATACATCTATCATACTGATAAATGTAAGTGGACCTCAGATTAGATTACTAAACCCACTCTATACTGTCTTTAAGAGGAGCAGCTAAAATAAAATAATTCAGAGTGGCTAACAGCAGAAGAGTGGTATACTAGACAAATAAGAAAAGAAAAGAAAGCAAAGATTACAATCTAAAACAGAAAAGGTAGAAGTCAGGTTGAAAAGCATTAAATGAGGCACAGAAGGGAACTTTAAAATACCAAGGGTAAACAATAAAGATGTAACATTTATGGCTATTTATGCACCAAGTAACTAGGGAATATACAAGGAGAAACAAAAACCTACTAATAACAGGAAACTGAATTCACCTCTCTCAGGCCATGACAGAACATGAAGAAAAAAATTAAGGATATGATATAGACAACTTAGATAATACAATTAATTACACCAATCTGATTATAAATATCACACTCTGTATTCTGAAAAAAAGAGATTACACCTTCAGTTTAAGCGCCTATGAAACACTCACAGAACTTGATGGTACACTGAGATCCAAAGAAAATCTCAACACATTGCAAAAAGTAGAAATGGTATGGACAACATTCTCTGATCCCTATGCCATACTAGAAATTAACAATAAAATCAGAAAACAAAAAGCCAATATCTCCTGGAATTAAAAAAAAAAATCTCACTTAACTCTTGAATATGAGGAAGATTCAAAACTAAAATTGCAGAACATCCTAAAAAAAATAAGAAAACTACACATTGCTAAAGCAATGCTGAGAGGAAAATCATAGCCTTAAGTACTTAATAATAAACATGAAAGACTAAAAAGAAATAAATTAGGCATTCAGCTTAAGAAGTTAGAAAAGAGACAAAACAAAATGGAGGAAAGCCAAAGGAAGGAATCAATAAAGATAGAAGCAGAATTTAGGAAGTTGGAAAATGAAAACTGAAAGCTGGTACTTTGAAAAAAGTCAGTTAAGTAGATAAACTGCAGCCTAACTTATTCATGAAAAAAAAATGAAAAATGTGCTAATAAAGTAAGTGAAAAGGGAGAAATTCATCAAAGAACTACTGCCACCTCTGGCCCATTTCCCCAGCCAAAACATGAGGTAGAAATGAGTTCCCAGGGGAATTCTACCAGACCTTCAAAAAAAACCAGGTATTTCCAATGCTATTTAAACTGTTTTTAGAGTCTAGAAAAAGAATTTCAGATTATGTTTTTAAGTAAGCAGGACACTGATGGTAAAATCTGACAAAGCACATAAAAGAGAAAACTATCTCCAATCTCATGCATAAATAGTGAAGAAAACGCCTAAATAAGTCCAGGAGCACATTAAAAAATAATGCATCACTTCCAAGTAGAATTTATTACAAATCTGCAAGGGAGGTTCAATATTAGAAAATCTATTAAGCTCTAGATATAATCTATCAATTAGTAGGTATAAAAAGAATCGTATGATCATCTTCATATATGCTAAAAAAGGCATCTGACCAAATTCAAGATCCATTGTTGGTGAAATTCTTAAGAAAGCATTTATCAATTAATATTCTTAAAATATTACAATATTTTAATTTCAGCCCCAAATCAGTATTTTGCTTAAGGGGGACACACAAGAGCATACCCACTCACGAACAAGGCAAGAACTGTCCTGTGACCACCATTTTTCGATACTGTACCAGAAGTACTAGCCAATCTAATTACACAAGAGAAAGAAATTAGAGATGTGAAAACTAAAAAAGAGTCAAAACTATCACATATGCAGATGGTATGACAACATACGTAGAAAAGCCAAGGAAGTCAACTGAAACACTCCTACAAACAAACAAAAAGTTCGGTAAATTAGAAGGTGCAAAACTAATATACAAAAATTTTCATGTTCACCATCAATATTAATTGAAAACATAATGGAAGAGAAGATCTCATTTCTAGGTTAAAAGTCTAAAAGAAATGTTCAAGTCCTGGTAATCTAAAGAAAAAATTAGTAAAATATTCTTTGAAAGACAGAAGGAAGTCTTGAACAAATGAAAAGGCATTTTGGATAGGAAACCTCAACATCATAAACATGTCGAGCCTCCCTAAGTTAATTTGTAAGTTTAAGGTGATTTCAATAAAAATAAAATCTAGGTTTTTTTTTTTTTCAGAACTAGACCAAGTGATTTTAAAATTTATATGGAAATGTAAACAAAAAAGTCAGGAAATCTCTGCAAAACGAGAACACTAAAGAGGAATTTTCCTTGTCACATAAAGACTCAGTGATTAATAAAGTATACTACTGAGACATGAATAGGCAAACAGACAAATGTAACAGAATATATAGTCAGAAACAGACCTAAAAACGTATGGAACTTTAGTATATAATAAAAGTGATATCTCAAATCAGTGAGAAAAAGAAGTGCTGTCGATGAACCATCTGGGAACAACTAAGGAAGTCACGTGAAGAACAAATATGGCTTGAGCTATACCTTATATCATAACACAAGATAAACCCAAATGGGCTAGGAACTTATCCTATAGATGCAAACACGTAGGAATAAAATGATTTTTAAAATTATTCATTGAAGCATTGAAACAACATATTGGCAGCAATCTAAATACTCACCAATTGGGGACTAGATAAATACCTTAATAATATATCTATAAAATGAAATACTATGATTTTATTAAAAAAATTTTTTATATCAATATATTATATCAAAAGACCTTGAAGCTATAAAATGTGTATAGTATGCTATTATCTGTACTTTAAAAAGAGAAGAAAAAAATAATATATATTTGTATTGGCTTGTATATAAGTAAAAATTCTTATCAAGGATAAACAAGAAAGCAATACAAGTGGTCATCCATTGGTGTTCTATGGGAATCACTTGGCTGAGGTCAAGGATGTGAGGGAGAATTTTGGCTGTATACATTTTACACTTTTTGATGTTTAAATCACATAAATGAATACTTAAAAAAGATGTAAACACATATTTTTAAATAACAAAAGTCCTAATCTGATTATAATTAAATGGTAAAATAGGAAGGTCTGTAAACAATTTGCCAACTAACAGAGATAAATTTATTTTACTAGTAAATCTGTCCATATTTTTTTTTTGTAAATAAATACTACTAAAATTGCAGAACATCCTAAAAAAAATAAGAGAACTACACATTGCTAAAGCAATGCTGAGAGGAAAATCATAGCCTTAAGTACTTAATAATAAACATGAAAGACTAAAAAGCACTTTAGGAAACCAAAGAAATATGAACATCTGTAAAGGAAAAAGATTGGAGTGAACCTGTCTTTTTTACTTTTAATGCTTTTAATACTGCATTTCTGATCTCTGCAGCCTAGGCCAAATTCCTGTGTTATACACTCACACAGCCAGCCCTGGTGGTCTAGTGGTTAAGATTTGCGCTCTCAACACCATGGCTCGGGTTCCCTTTCTGGTCAAGGAACCACACCACCTGTCTGTCGATTGACCTACTGTGGTGGCTGTGTGTAGGTTCCACTCAATTGTACACATCGTCACTAGGAGTTGGAATCCACTTGACAGCACTAACAACAAACACATACTCATATACACACTGTGCTTCCTTAGAACACTTATTGTAATTAAATGATCAACTCATAATAAATTGTTCAGTGAATGTCTTCCATTCTGTAAGGTAAGCATCAGGAGGGCAGCAGCCAGGACCAGGACTGTCTTGTTTACTTCTGTATCTTATAGTGTTGACACATAGCAGGTATTCACTATGTTAAATGAAGGTGTTGTTATGTTTTTCTATTTTATTCAGAGTCAAAATAACCACAGACATCTCATTGTTTCACTGTCCATTGCCACCTAGACAGAGGGGTTGAGAAAGATGCTTTGTGACATCCCCACCGCTGTGCTGCTTCTTGCAGGTATCCTTGCTTTGGGAGAAAGGGTTAGAGGAAAAGCCCATTTGCAGGGAACCTCTGAGGTTTCAAAAGCTTGATGATGTGCTCTTTTAAAAAATTTTGGAATTTTCCCCATATCCATGCCCCCCTTCTTCTTGTACTAGAAGAACTCCTCACACCCAAGTTTTGGCTAGACTAATGGCCACTCCAGTTAGAGATTACATTTTCCATCTTCTCTTGGATCTTGGTGATGCTTTGAGTCTTGGTTTTAGCTAGTAGGTTTTAGCAACAATGTCTGCTTCATGTCCTTCAATATGAAGTTGTTTTCCCTCCACGTTTTCTCCTTTTCCTTCCCATGGGCTTGAACGTGGATACAGTGCAGTGCGGCTGAAGACAACTGCAGCGGACACCTTAGAGCCAGAGAGAAAAGCCAAGTGGAGCAGATGTCAGCATCATCCCACCAGCCTGGGTCTCTAGCTGAGTTTGTGGAGCACAGCCCGATTACCCATCTTGAGCTGTGATGTAAGAGACAAAGAAGCTTCTAAAACATTCCACTGTACTTGGAGTTACTTTTTTACAGTGGTTTAGTTTATTCCCAATTAATGGCAACAATTACTGGCGGGGTTCTTAGTTGCAGGATCTGTTTTGCAGAGAACAAAATCCACTCAAGCTAGTTTAAAAAGGAAGAGATTTATTGCAGCCCCTTAGGTAGCTTATGGAACTTTTTGGAAGGCCAAGGAAACAATCTTGGATTATACACTGTCAAGAGCATTCTAGCCAGAAGAAAATTCCAACTCACTATAGACTTATTCCAGAGGAAATCTCACTGTTGCCAGCACCTTATACAGAGCACCCCACCAATGTCATCCATTTCCTTGGGTTCTATGCTGACCTGTTGAACCCTGAGAAATGAGCATGGGAGCTGCCCAGAGAGCTCAACTGAGCCCTGTCTGTCTCTCTGGGCTATGCCAGGAAGGGCTCTGGCTGTAATATATTGATCTTCTTAGCTCCCTTTCCTTTCTGGCATTAATGTCTCCTGTAAAAAAGCTTTTGTTTCAGTCTGTTGGAGTGCTGGTCCTTTCGCGTTCTCTGAGTGATGTCACTGAATGGCCTGTTTCTTCTTTAGGGGTTCTTAGAAACATGATCTTTCAAAATTTTTCATTATGGGTTTAGCATACCAAAATGCTTTAAACGGTGGATGTAATTTTCAGTAACAGAAGAGTCATCCTGTCACAATTCTGAGCCTAATTCCAGAATCGTCCCTGAAAGGACAAGATTTATGGTCAAAGAATGAGTTTAAGTCATAAAGTTGGCAAGTAGTCAAAACAGATCAACTTTCGATTATTAACACTCAGAGCCATATGTGAACTGACCGGAAACCAGATCTTGGAACCATAAACATTAACACTTGTTCTTTCCTTTCTGTCAATTTAAACACCAAAAGCACTTTAGGAAACCAAAGAAATATGAACATCTGTAAAGGAAAAAGATTGGAGTGAACCTGTCTTTTTTACTTTTAATGCTGGGATCTTCTTGCACATTCTTTGCAATGTTTTGCTTAGTTTGAACACAATGATTTCCATATTTTTAATGACTCTCTTCAAAGGCACTTCACGGTCAGTCATTAGATATGGCACCTTCATAGATTTTGATGTAACTGAAAATTACCTTTTCAGTATTTAAAACACTTTTCATTTTATTTTTGTCAGAAATCTTTCTATAGCCGATTATATCCTTACCTGCCTTATTAAACCGAAGATACTGTCTTCACTTATCTCAGTGAATACTCACCACTAAACAATGCTTTGCGGAGTGAAATTCTATCTACTTTTCAAAGTTCTTTTCTCTTCCTGTAGTATTGGCAACCACTCTTCACGGGGACGCCATCAAATATATTGATGTCATCTTCTCTTTTCAAATGTATCTTTACAACTATCAAGATTAAATGAAGTTATCTGTTAAGTAAAATCAATCAGGCTCTGAATGAAGGTTTTATAAGTTCACTAGGAAGTTAGAAATTTATCAGGAGTGCTGTGGCTTTGTCAAAGCCATTTCATCATGCTTTAAAAAATTTTCTGAGTGAATATCTATGCACCAGAGACTTGAGGATTAGAGAAATCTGACCCTCAAAAGAGAGTGGTTTTACTAAGCTTTTAGATACAATCTTTTTTAAAAGCAGTTTTACGGAGGTATAAGGAGTATAATTGACATGCAGAAAACTACATATATTTAAAGTGTACAGTTTTATAAGTTTTGACATACACACACACCCAGGAAACCATCATCACAATCAAGATAATGAATACATCTATCGCTCCATAAAGTTTCCTCAGTCCCTTGTGTAATCCTAAAACCCATATCCCCAGGAAATCACTGATCTCCTTTATGCCACTATAGATTAGTTTGCATTTTCTAGAATTTAAAATAAATGTAATCATTACAGTATATATTCTTTTTTGGCCATTTTTTTTCACTCAGCATAATTATTTTGAGATTCCTCTGTGCTGTACCATATATCAATAATTCATTCCTTTTTTTTATTGCAATATGATTACCACCATAGCATTAGTCAACACTTCTGTCACGTGTGGCCTTTATTATGTTGAGATAGTTTCCTTCTAATCTTAGCTTTTTAAAAAAATTTTATTGAGGTCATATTGGCTTTTAACATTGTGTAAATTTCAAGTGTACAATAATATATTTCAGTTTTTTGTTTTTTTGTGTGTTTTTGTTTTGTTTTGTTTCTGGTGAGGAAGATTGCCGCTGAACTAACAGCTGTGTCAACCTTCCTCTAATTTTGTATGTGGGATGCCACCACAGCATGGCTTGATGAGTGGTGTGTAGGTCTATGCCTGGGATCTGAACTGGCGAACCCTTGGCTGCTGAAGTGGAGCATGCAAACTTAACCAGTATGCCACCAGGCCAGCCCCCTATTTCAGTATTTGTGTAGATTGCATTGTGTTCACTACCAATAGTCTAGTTTTTATGTGTCACCATACACATGTGCCCCTTTACCCACTTCGCCCTCCCCCACTTCCTTTTACTTTGAAAAACACTAATCTGTTCTCCTTAACTATGTGTTTGTTTATCTTCCACGTATGAGTGAAATCAAACAGTATTTGTCTTTCTCTGTCTGACTTATTTTGCTTAGCACAATACCCTCAAGGTCCATCCGTGTTGTCACAAATGGCATGATTTTGTCTTTTTCATGGCTAAGTGGTCTTCCACTGTGTATATATATATATATATATATATATATATATATATATATATACCACATCTTCTTTATCCAACCATCAGTTGTTGGGCACTTGGGTTGCTTCCATGTCTTGCCTATTGTGAACAATTCTGTGATGAACATAGGGGTGCATAAGTCTCTTTGAATTGTTGATTTCATGTTCTTTGGATAAATACCGAGTAGTGGGATAGCTGGATCATATGGTATTTCTATTTTTAGTTTTTTTAGTTTAGTTTTTTGAGAAATCTCCATACTGTTTTCCATAGTGGCTGCACCAGTTTGCATTCCACTAGAAGCCTTTTTATTGCTGAGTAGTAGTGTATTATATGGATATACCACAGTTTGTTCACCTATTCATCTATTTATAGACATCTGTGTTGTTTTCAGTTTTTAGCTATTACTAATAAAGCTGCTATGAACTTTTATGTACAAGTGTTTGTACAGTGTTATGGACTGAACTGTGTTCCCCTAAAATTCATATGTTGAAGTCCTAACCCCCAGTACCTCAGAATACCACATTATATTTCAGATAGAGCCTTTAAAGAGGCGATTAAGTTAAAATGAGACCATTAGGGTAAACTATAATCCAGTATGGCTGGTGTCCTTATAAGAAGAGGTGATTAGGACACACAGAGAGACCCCAAGGATGGGCATACACAGAGAAAAGACCATGTGAGGGCACAGTGAGAAGGCACCCAAAGAGGCCTCAGAGGAAATCAACCCTTCCAGCACCTTAGTCTTGGACTTACAGCCTCCAGAACTGTGAGAAAATTAATTTGTTGTTTAAGCTACCTAGTCTGTGCTATTTTGTTATTGCTGCCCTAGCAAACCAGTACATGTGGACATACACTTCCATTTCTCTCAAGTAAATACCTAGGAGTGGAATGACGGATCATATGGTAATGTTTAATCATTTTTAAGGGAAAAGTAAAAGGCTTTTTTGTAAACTGAGACACTGTTTTTCAGAGTCGTTGTACCACGTTACATGCTTACCAGCAGAACCTGAGAATTCCAGTTCCTTCACATTAGTAAGGTCAGTCTTTTAAAACTTAGTGATTCTACTAATGTGTAGTGCTAACTCATTGTGCTTTTGATTGCATGTCCCTAATGACTGATGATGTTGACTATCTTTTCATGTGTTTACTTTCCATTCATATTATCTTCTTTGGTGAAGAGTCTGGCTAAATCTTTTGACCATTTTAATTAGGTCGTTTGTTTTCTTTTTATTGAGTTTTGAGAATTCTTTATCTGTTTTAGATATAAGTTTATCCAAATATATCAGAAATATGATTTACAAGTGTTTTATTCTGTGGCTTGCATTTTCTTTCTTTTGAGGAACCTAAATTATTAATTTTGATGAAGTCCAATATATCACTTTTTTCTTTTATATATCTTGCTTTCAGTGTCATATCTAAGAAATCTTTGCTTAATCCAAGGCAGCAAAGATTTTCTCTCCTATGTTTCCTTCTATAAGTTCTATTGTTTAGGATTTACATTTAGGTCTATGATCCATTTTGAGTGAATTTTTGGAAATGGTGTAAGGTATGGATTGAGGTTCCTTTTTTACTGACCATTTGTTAAAAAGACTATTGAAAATCAGTTGTCCATAAATCTGTGGGTCTACTTCTGGATTCTAGTTTGTTCCATTGATATATTTCTGCATCTTTACACTAGAGTCACACTGTCTTCATTACTATAACATTACAGTAAACTTTGAAATCCAGCAGTGTTAATCCTCCAACTTTGTTGTTTTTCAGTTGTTTTGGCTATTTTAGGTCCCTTGCATTTCAATAGGAATTTTAGAATTGGTTTATCAATTTCTACAAAAGAGCCTGCTGAGATTACGATTGAGATTGCATTAAATCTATTGTCAGTTTCAATTAATTGATTTGTTTTCTAACTTTGGTTCATATTTTCCTTCTTCTTTGTATGACTTATAACTTTTTACTGATTAGCAGATATTGTAAATTTTATCTTGGTTGGGAGCTGCGTCTTTCTGTGTTCCTATAAATATTCTAGAGCTTTGTTCTAGAATGCAGTTAAGTTACTTGAAAACAGTGTTATCCTTTCACATCTCGTTAGACTGGCCCAGAGCAATACTCAGTCTAGACCTATTTATTCCCCACCACTGAGACAAGACCCGTCTGTGTACTTACCTAATGTCCTGTGAATCATGGGGTTTTCCAGTCTGGCTGGTGAGAAGGGCAAATATTCTCAGCTCTGTGTGAGCACCAGATCCTGCTACCCCTAATATATTTAGGGGTTTCTTTCCCCAGCTTCAGGTAATTTCCTCACAGACAGGTACTAATTAGTACTCAGCCGAATACTTGAGGGGAACCCTTTGCAGGCCTTTCAAGTTCTCTCTGTGCAGCTCTCTCCTCTCCAGCACTCTGTCCTGTGAACTCCAGCCATGACAGTCCCCTGGACTCTCAACTTTATCTCAACTCCCAGAGTCCCTGGCACTCTACTGAGCTCCCCCTCCCAGCACTGTGGCCTGGAAACTCTCCAAGATGGGAAGCAGGGTTACTCAGAGGATTCGTCTGGCTTATTTCCTGTCTCTTAGGGATCACTATCCTTTGTTGACTGCCCTCCGGTGTCTTGAAAACCATTGCTTCCTATATTTTATCCATTTTGGGGGTTGTTATTGGTAGAAGGAGATTATAGTCCCTGTTACTTTATCTTGGTCGGGAGTGGAAGTTCCCACAACCTTTTTTGACCACTGTTTTGTAACCTCAAGGTAATACAGGTAATGCAATTTTTAAAAAATTATGTCATGGATCAAAACCTTTTAGTCAAAAGTCAGCTACTCTAATTCACTTCTTTTTCTTGTATTATGTCAGTCAGGAACTGTGTCTTCTGTGTCTAACCAATGCAGGGTTCCTCTTCCATCTGTAACAAACAATGTTAAAAATAAAGGAGAATGACTGAATCAGAACTGGATAATAAATACTTCCTCTCCTTATGTGCCAACTCTGACTAATTTGTTATGGCCACCAGATTGTGTTGGCTCATTAGTAGAAACCTATTTGCTACCCCTTCACCAGTGATTTGAAATGAGTGAAGAGGAAAAGTTTTAAACTAAGAAGAAGTTTCAAATTTTGTTTAGAATGCTAAAACATTCTCCAAGAAGCACAAGGCTCAGTGTGTGCCAGACACTGTGCTAAGTGTGCTATGTCCCTTATCTCATTTAATTCTCCCCCAAGCCCTAGGAAGTAGACAGCATTCTTAATATCCAATACTTAGAAGAGAAAACTGAGACCTGAAAGGATAAACTTGCCCAAAATTTACTAGCTAATAAATAATGTAAATGGAATTCTAGACTAGACAGTCTAACTCCAAAGGCACCATCACAAACACTATCAGCATAGTTTTGGCATACATAAAAAAGGAAGAGCAGAACAGAGGAGAGTTCAAAACAAAACAACCATATCTATGGGATTTTACTGTATGATAAAGATGACACAAATTAATAAGTAATTATTTGTAGACAATTGACTACACATTAAGAAAAATTGTTATACCTCACACACACAAAAATATAATTCACAAATTTTTAAAAATTAAGGTAAATATAGGAATAGTACTAAAAGGAATGTAGAACACAGGAGTAATAGGCTCCTGTGTCAGTCAGGGTGGGCTAAGTTGTGCTGCAGTAACACAGACAACACAGTAACACTCAGTGTGTAAATGCCTTGATACAACAAGTGTGCATTTCTCCCTCCTCTATTGTCCAACACAGATTGATGGGTGCTTGCTCATCGTTGTTGCTCAGGGACCCAGATTGATGGAGACTGCATTTCAACATACGCTTCCACAATCACCACAGCAGGGCGAAGCAGAGGTCTCCAGCTGGAAATAATTAGTCTGACCTTGAAGAAGCCTCATGACCTCTGGCCACAACCCACTGGCTAAAAGAAGCCACACCAAATGTTAATGTCAAGAGGGTTGAGAACAGTGCAATCCTATCAGAGGCCTGGAAGGAAAAGAAATGAAATATTCTGAATAGCCTTCATAACTGTTTCCTTGTCTTATTCCTCACTTTCATGAGAATGCCTCTAGATTGTCAAACTAGGCATGATTTTTGTTTTTGTAGTTGCTGTTGACTTGTGCAAAATTCTTTCTATCATATTGGGCAAGTTTTCTTTTACTACAAGTTTACCATGAGTTTTTATCAGAAAGGAATGTGAAATTTAATCTTTTAATATCTATAGAAATAAGCGCTTATGTTTTCCCCCCTTTAAGTAATTATTACAGTTTATTGTATTAATGAATTTCCTACTTTGGACTATTCTTGCATTGCAAGGGTAAAATACTAAATCAGAGTTTATTATTATAGCCTATTATTTTGTTTAAATGCTCTGGATTTGATATATTTCAACAGTTTATTTTGAACTTTTTTGCTATCATAGCTGAGATTGGGCTACATAGTTTAAGGTTTTGGTGCCATCTTTGTTGATGACCTATAGAACTCACCAGTGAAAATTACTGATTCTGAGGGCTGGCCCAGTGGTGCAAAGGCCCAGTAAGTCTGCACACTCCACTTTGGCAGCCCTGGGGTTCGCCAGTTCAGGTCCCGGGCACAGACCTATGCACCACGTATGAAGCCCTGCTGTGGTGGCATCCCACATATAAAATAGAGGAAGATGGGCACTGGTGTGAGCTCAGGGCCAATCTTCCTCAGGAAAAAGAGGAGAGTCAGTGATGGACGTTAGCTCAAATCTAATGTTCCTCAAAAAGAAGAAAATTACTGATTCTGGAAGTAAATTTTTAAACCTTTTAAATTTCTTCTATGGTTATTGGTTTGTTCAGATTTTTTATCTTAACTTGATTTTAGATAGCTTAAATAATCTATTTAATCTAGCTTTTTTTAATGACAAAGTTGTGCCTGGTCTTTTTCATTATATTTTTTATCTCTAGCTATGGTTCTGTAGCCTTTATCATTCATAATACTTGCATTTGTGTTTTTTTTCTTGGCTAGAGCTTGCCAAATATTTATCTGTTTTATTGGACTTCTATAAAAATTGGCTCTTGATATTACTTATTAATTTTTGTTTGCTTTATTGTCTTATTAATTAATTTCTGCTTTTTATCCTCCTATTGTAATTTTATTCAATTTCCTGGATCTTTTGCAGCTTCTTCAGACAAATCTTAGTTTCATTTCAATTACAATTTTTCTATGCTCTCGCTCTACTGTTTCACTAACTGTCACAACTCATATCCAACATCTAAAAACTTTCTCTCTGGAGTGTGTATGTGTGTTTTAAAACCAACAATTTGGCAGACATTTACACAAAAGAAACAACTTAAGCTTCATGGGGGCAGGACTGTCCACTCCCCATGGGCAGGTTGTGTGCTCTAAAACATTCGGTGAGTGAATAAATGTTCCTCTTCCTGCCAAAATTATTTCTCCTGTTTTTGTCTCTGTACCTGGAATGCTCTTGTCTATTTTTGCTAAGTAAATGCATGTTAATTCAAGACTGGTTCTGGGTCAATTTGCCAAAAATCAACCACAGAAAGCCAACTTTCCATAAGGCCAATTTGCCAAATTTTCTTGTTCCTTTGAACTATTTATAAAGTTTACAACAATTCACATTGGATGGGATAGTTTTAATGGCTTTTAAAATTTATGTAAACATTTAGTTGACTAGTTCTCCTTTTGTTTTCATAACAGCATTTTAAGGAATGTTTAATTTGTCTCTACCCAGATTCCTGCTCTTGCAGTTGGAAAAGGCCGGGACAGAGAAAGAGGATTCTGCTAGGGGCAAGACGAAGAGCAGGGTCAGCAAACATTGCTGCCCAGAGAGAGGCAAGATGTGGTCATAAGAAAAAGGGCACATTCATAGAACACATATTCACAAAGAATATATTCTCAAGGAAAACGACCTTTTTATAAATACATTCTTCTTATAAATAAGAAGCTACCCCCAGCTTCCTCCTTTGTTCCCCACACATTTTGCCCCATTTCTTCTCTTCTCTGTAGTCTCCTTCCTCGCTGGGAGGGCTGCGCTGTGTGCTTACCCTGCTCCCTGTCTCTTCCCAAGTAGTCATTCATCCCTGCTCCCTCCAGCGCCCTAGCAAGGAGCTGGGGCAGAGACAAACCCGATGCTCCTTCGAATGCTATTAGGGAGACAAAATGAAAACTAGCCCATTAGAACTAAGTAGTGACAAGAAATAGTAAATTCATAGAAGCGGTTATGCAGTGAATCAGACTCATTTCCTCCGGGCCCCTGCTCACATGACTACTTTTCTACAAAGCCTTCTCTGACTCTCCTTGGCAGGTCCCATTACACCTTGTTCACACCTCTATTACATTGCTTAGAAGTGACATGAAAATAGAAGCATTCTATCTTAGTTACTTGACTTCATAAGTAGTCCAATTTCTAGACTGTTTATCCCTTTAACAACTACTTAATAAACAAAAATGTCTTCGTTAAACAGACATTTGTGGGGAGGGGGGCAAAATGGGTGAAGGGGGTGAAAAGGTACAAACTCCAGCTATCGAATAAATGTCATGGGGATGTAATGTACAGCATGGTGACTATAGTTAGTAATACTGTATTGCATTTTGGAAGCTGCTAAGAAAGAAAGTAGATCTTAAAAGTTCTCATCACAATAAAAAACATTTTGTAACGATGTATGGTGATGAATGCTAACCAGACTTATTGCGGTGATCATTTTGCAGTATATAAAAATACCAAATCACCATGTTGTACACCTGAAACTAATATAATGTTATACGTCAATTATACCTCAATAAAAAAATTTCTAAATAAAACACTGACATTTACTGTGAGCTGACTATGTGCTAGAGAGTAAAATAGATGCTGGAGATTAAAATTAAGTCCCAGTCCAGGTCCCAGTTCAGAGATCCCAGTCTGGAGGAGGCAGACCAAATCTTAGACGTGTTTCTATTCACCTGGCCCTGTGCGTTGTGCTTGGCATGGGGTCTGTGCTCCCTAGAAGTGTTAAGTCTCTTACAGGCACGTTGCCATGAGAAAAACTAAAACTACAAGTGTTAAAGCTAACATTTACAACAACAGCAGAAAATAATTTAAGGCCAAGAGAGTTTATGAGGTGGCTCTGAGGCTACATTTTCTAATTCCCCAAAATATTTAACAAAAAAAGGACAAACAAAATCGTTTAGTGAGACCCACGGTATTCAGAATGTCATGACAAGGAAAAAAGATGGAATGGCCCTTGTATTTAAAGTTTGGAGCCTGAAACAAGGTACCTGCCATTTCATTTAAACTTCAGCAATAATAATTTAATAACTATGCTCCAAGTCAGTTAGGATGTGTTAAATGATCTGTTAGGGGTAAATTCATTGAAAAAAATGTATTAATTCAGCCACAATCTGATTCAAAGTGTAACCTCTCAGACCCAGGGTGATAAAAACTATCAGTGTTGAGTCCTTCCAGATTTAAGGTCTTATAGCTTCCACATGGCTGATCAAAAATATGCAGAAACACATGAAAATTGAGGACGTTCAATAACATAGACAAAATGATCACACTAAAATTTAACTCAAGTCTGACCCTCAGGATCTTTGAAGACTATCTCTAAATTAGTCTGGATGTTTAAAAGCAGATTTGTGTTGTCAGATGTTCCCCCAAACAACCCTCTTTTAAAATAAACTTCTTTAGATCCCTAGGTTTATAATTGCTAGTCAAAAAGAAAGTAGGTCTTCGGAATCTCCAGCCTTAGATGTTCTGCTCGGGGGTAGTAGGTAGGAACTAGGTCTGAGTTTCAGCAAATTTTCAGACTGCTTACCCATTAGGCTGAATAATGTCCCCCTGCCCGCAGAGCTATTCCTGTCCCAATCCCTGGGAGCTCTGAATGTTGCCTTACGTGGCCAAAAAGGACCTTGCAGATGTAATTAAGTTAAGGGTTTTGAGATGGGAAAATTACCCTGGATTACCTGGATTATCCTGGATAAACCTTTATTGTTACAATTTATAGATGTATTATAGTTACACTTTGTCAATGAAACTATTTAATTTAGAGGGAAAATGGATTAGGATAAATCCTGCAGTCAAATTGATGTGAAAGACAAGGTTACCCGGATAGTGAAAGTCAGCAGCCTCTGCTCCAGCTTTCCTGAACAAACCAGGATTCCCTCATTCCCCACTTTGGCTCAAGGGTCAGACTGCGCTTTCAGGCTACCACAACCAGTTACTCACACAATTGCCTCACTGAGTCCAGCTAAGCAACCCAGGTGCTCTGAGTTATAGCCAGATCTCATTCAGGACTGTCAGCCTGCCAGGCCAGATCTCCGTGATGCAGTCCTCTAAGGATGGAGAGTCCCAAGACCTCTTTTATCCTATTAATTTAAAGAATTTCTGGACTAAGCCCTGCACCCCACACCACTTCTCAGACAGCCAGATAAGTTCCAGGAGGTGCAGCTTCCCGAATTGCTGTGGATGATCCAATCAACCTACTCGCTGTCCTCACCATCATCTAACCCATAGCTCCACAATTTAGACTGTTAATTAACTCTCAGGGAAAAGCTTCAACTTTATATCTTTGTAGTTGAGACAGTTTTATGCACACATATGTCAAAAGCCTTTTTAATTAAAACTTTTTGGTGGAAATACTCTTACTTTCCATTTTGGAGATGGTGAGAAGTATATTAAAAGTCTGATTTTGCTCAGGCCGTTCCTGTTGTAAATCTAAGTAATTTTTTCACAGAATATTCTGTGATTTGCCACTCTTAATACACTTCAGCCAGACATGTTCCCTTTGAAATTAATTCCAGCTTGTGAAATTCAAAAGGTGAAGACTAGAAGGAATGTAATTTCATATCGGTGGTTTCTGTGGCTGGGTAAACATTATTAATGTTTTCATAATGGCATAGTAAGTGATTTAATCGGACATGCAGTACCATGTTTGTGTTAGCTATTCCCACTACACAAAAAGAAATCACTTAGTATAATCCATATACCTATTCTTTTTTTTTAAGCAACTCACTGCATTTTAATATGAATTTGTCGCTAGTGAAGATCTCCAGTTAACATGGACTATGGTAAGAAAGAATATACCATTATATGTATAGGCTAATAACTAGACCATATAAAAACAGGCGATTAGTGATTCAGTTCTACAAATATTGTGACCTTACTGTGTGACAGGCCCTGTATCCTGAACTGGGGATACAGGAGTGACCGAGCCAGATCCAGCCCCTGCCTGTGGAGCCTGGTGTACAGACAAGGCACCACTCTTGGCAGACTCACAATGTAGGTGATTGTGGCAGATAAAGCGGCTGTCTTACTCAACATCTGTTCCAACCTCCTTCCTGTCCTGCCAGTGCCCTTCTGTCACCTTGCTCACAATGGAAAGCTAAAAACTACTCTCCCAGATTCCCTTATAACCAGAGTTTAGGATGTGATTTGGATTCCACTGATCAGGTGCACTTAGCAAAGACCTGGATTCAAACTAAATTAAGTGGAGACTGGCCTAGCTGTAGAATTTATGGGACCCAGTACAAAAAGAAAATGTGAGGCCCCCCATACAAAAACGAAGAACAAACTCTTTTTCCTCCCGTCTGTGGTTTTTCCCCCAACTTGTCAGGATGGGTTTTTTTTTTTCTTTTTTGTTTGCTATTTAACGTTGCACTCTCAGAACGCGGGGACACTCAGATATGAGAGCAGACACTCAGTGGCGCCCAGGGGCCCTGCCCACGACTCAGCGTAGGTACGGCCTGGTGGCTGCTGGGTTTCCCCTCCCATCTATTGCAGGACCGAAGCATCCAGAAGTCCAGTCAGGCATCTCTCTTCCCCAAGGCCTGCCACCTCAACCCACAGAAGATGGGCGAACCCGGAGAAGACTGCCATCTCCATGCACAAGCGCTCTCAGCACCTGGATTGATCCGGGTAGGAGGCTCCCCATCCTCCTCCCACCCCTCCTTCCCCCATCCCCCTCCACTCCTTCCTCCCTCAATGCCTAAAGTTCCTTGCCCATGGATGCCCCAGGGCTCATGCGCCTGACTCGAACCAATCCCAGTCCTCCTCTCCCCCAGGCCCCAGGCTGGGGTCTGGGAGGCTGTGGTCGCAGGGCGGTGACAGGGAAGGGGAGGTCTGGGGTGCCAGGGCGTAGGGGACACGTTGGCCAAGAACTTGTCACAGGGAGGTGGCAGGAGGAGGCAACTGAGGCTCCATGCTCCCAGTGCAAAATTCACTGTCCCAAAGGATTTCACTTACAAAATCTGAATTTAAAGATAAATTATTAAAAATTTCAATATGGCAACCGCAGACTGCTAGACTCCAAGAGTGGTGCCCTTCTAAACGTGGGACCTTGCCTGACTACACAGGTTCTCTACCCGCGAAGCGGGTCCTGAGTGGAGAGAAAGGTGGGAAGCTTTATTTTCTGCCTGCGGATTGTAGCAAGGGCGTCGAGGTTCTCTTGTCATCAGTTTCCCACAAAAATGTTGGGAAGAGACTGTGAGGTTCTGGGATGTAGAAGTGGTGTGATTTTGGAAATTGGGAGTTGTTCCTAGAAGCTTAGCCTAAAATCTGCTCTTATAGCCCTTTTTATAGTTTTGTGAACCGTCTAATAGCTGACAATAATTCCCTTAGCCCAATCAGAAGGGTTCAGTTGCAAACAACAGAAACCACAATAGGTACAGGAGTAGGATTCTCTCTGGAGAGGCATGAAATAGGGAGATCCAGGGAGTAAACTGACTGTGGTGGTTCAGTCTCAAAAGAAAGCATTTCATATTGCAGAAGGCCATTCAGTGCTAGAAGAGAAACCAGTTATACTAAAGGAGAGGCATCATACAAATGGAATAGCTGTGTCATTCTTCACTGCCCTTCATATTAGGAGAGTTGGAGAGGGTTGTTGAAGCAGAGCAGTGATTAGGTTTGAAAGAGGGGAGTAGAAGTAAGTCGTGTACTTGCTCAGAAAGAAGTAGGAATTGTCTTCATGATATGGTAGGAAAAACATGAGCTTTCGCTTTAAGTGGATCTACGTGCTCTGTTCCCTTGGGTAAGTAAATTAACTTCTCCAAGTCTCAGGCTCTTCATACTATTCCTCTAGGGTGGTTAGAAATAAGATATTTTAAAAACCTAGAATAACCTAACACACAGTTGATACTCAATGATGACTGTTACAGTGATAATAAAATGGAAGTTTGTGTATAGGAACATGTGGATGGCTTTCCCAGCTTGCCTCTACATCTGGTACATCACCCAAGCAGAACTTTAATAAAGCAACAGCACCCCAATTCTCTGTTGAATTCCTTGGCATCCAACTCTTATCCTCCCACCTATCCATCTACCAGTCCAGTCAACTCAGCCATCCGCTCTCTCACCCACCGTTCATCCTCTCTCCCTTCTAAAACTGACACTGTCATAAGAGTGGGAATTCAATATTCAGAAGCCTCAAGATTGCCTAGTAGTCATCTATCACAGCAAGCCATGAATTAGAGAAGGGATTTACTGCAAAACAAAATTAGTTTAAAAGCCATATAAAACTTTCTCCTCAAAAAGTCGCATCAACTTCGTAACAATCACAGCCATCCTAAAGGTTTCTGTATGTGTGGTAGGGGATGGAGACAGGGAGTAGT